CAGAATCGTAACAACCGGTTCTATAGAACTGGTCCGAACTGGTAGAATCCCATCCCTGCACTGGTCCATACTTATGACCGTGGCTATGATCACCTTTTGCGATTTTCCTGACAAGCAAAATCCGTGGGGAAGCCAGATTCACGTAACAACGGTGTCACTAATTGATCCACTGCAATGACTCACTCAGCAACTGAGGCAAGGAAGGTTGTAAAACAAGGCGAAACTCCACAAATGTCCCACGTAATGGCAGAAATATTGGGTTCAATTGTGGTCGTAAGTCGAGAACGACCCATATTTTGGGGCCTTCCGTGTGTCCCACTCCGTTATCCGAGATCTTGACACAGGCAGTTTCCACAGGGTAGATACCCCGAAAAAACCCCAATTTGGGCTTCTCTTTTGCCTCTAGGAGATCTTTCCAGCTCCGACGAAGACAGCCTGAAACAGGAGGACAAAGAAAACGAGATGCCCCGCAAAACGCAGCCCCACTTGTGCTTTGAGATCACCAGCGAAGACGGTTTTAAAGTGCAGGCCGACAGCATTGATGGTGAGGAGGGGACCAGCCTTGGCAGAATTCCTTTAACCGTTCTCTTGGGCGCTCTGCAAAGCTCCTCTCAGTAATGGTGGATTAGTACAGATGGGTCGCATTTTCTTGGGGTGCCAGTGGAATCCGGGGGGGGGGGGGCTTGCTTGAGAAAATCTGGAGTTCCTAGAAGTACCCCAAGTCACCCTCTGCTGATCCCCTTATACTGATAGGTGATTACATTTGCAGTGAATTGTCTAGACCTCTCCCGATATAATAATTCATTTGCTGCTGTTGTTCGTTGTTTAATGTCCCCATAATCCCTTGCGGGGTGGAGTCGGGGTAACTGGCCGGATGCCTTTCCTGTCCCCAGTGTGGAGTTTTTGCAGCAGATACATTGTCCAGAGAGAGAAATATCAGCCCTCTCCCTAGAATCTAACTCAAAGCCTCCTGATTGTGAGGCGAGAGCCCCATTTCTAAACCACCTCCAAGCCATCAATATAATAATTCATTTGTGTTCTGTCTATATTCAGGTGCCTGGAAAGCAGTAATTGAGAAGGTCCAGGAAGCTCGCACCAATGCCCGGCTCAAACACCTGTCCTTTGCAGGTAACAAAAGTTCTATACCTGGTTGGGATTTTTCAGCGTTTTCTATTTGAAGGGAATAAGCTAGAGCAGGGGTCTGCAACCTGCGGCTCTGGAGCCACATGCAGCTCTTTTGGCCCTCTGCTGCGGCTCCCTGTCGGCTGATCCCACCACTGGCTGGCCCCTCCCCGTCACTCCTCACCTGGCCTGAGAAGGTAAGGGTGATGATGGAGGATGGAGACTCGCTCCATATTCCAGAGCAGGAGGCGACTGGGTGGGGAGGGAGTGACGTAGAGCTGGCCACGCCCACCCAGTCACACCGGTTGTTAAATTATTGGCTCCCGGTGTTTTCTTTCCTGTGGGAAACGGGTCCAAATGGCTCTTTCAGTGTTTAAGGTTGCAGACCTTTGAGCTAGAGGAAGGAAAGGTAGATTAGCATAGCTTTAGGCTTTTTTCTCTGAAAGCAGGACTACTTGGGATCAGGTCCAGGTGCTGAATTGCATGCCCCTATTTTTCCTTACAGGAATGAATGGAGTGAGAATGTTGGGAATGCATCACGATGCTGTCATCTTCCTGGTGGAGCAGCTGTACGGTGCCAAGGCCTGCCACAAGTACAAATTCCGATACCACCAGCATGAAGGCGAGGAAGAGGAGCTGCCTCTCAATCCTCACGGTTGTGCCCGGGCTGAAGTTTATGTCAGGTAGATGAATAACCGGTGGTAGCTAATACAGGTGCTTCTCACTTTCAACCCAATTGGGGGCTGGAAAATTCATCGTTAAACGGGCTGCATTTTGCTGCTGTTGTTAAGCGAGACATCACATAATTAATGGAATTTGCGACCTTCCGGGTCAGCTTCTCCATTGTCGTAAACCCAGCTGAGAAAAGTTGCAAATTTATGATCGTGTCACCTTGGGACAGTGCAGTTATCATAAATATGAGCCAGTTGCCATGCACCCAAATCGTGAACACTGACCACAGGAATGCTGCTGTGGTTGTAAGCGCAAGGACTGGTCATAAGTTACCTTTTTCATGTTGTTGTAACTTGGAGTGGTTGCAAAACGAATAGTTATAAGCCAAGGACTATCTGTATTTGAAGCCTGTGCACCAATAGAAAGGGGTTCCTGATCCAGTAGATTTTGGAAAGCAGGCTAGAATGCGTGAGAAAAGGCAATTGAAAGGACAAAGAATCCATTTGGGTTCTGAACCATCCTCTATTCCAGGGGTCACCAACCTTTCGGACTTCAGACTAAATTCATAGTTTTAAATCCTGTGGACCACTAATATGATTTTTTTTTTTTAAAAAAAAAAGATAAATAGTATTCAGTGAACTATAAAAATGCAAATAATTATTCTGCGGACCACCAAAATTTCTCGCGGGCCACCAGTGATCCGCGGACCACTAGTTGGTAACTGCTGCTCTATTCCTTCTCCTTCAGGAAATGCACCTTTGACATGTTCAACTTCTTAGCATCTCAGCATCGTGTGCTTCCTGAGGGTGGCCCTTATGATGAAGAAGAAGACGAAGTGCAGCTGAAATCCACCAGGTAAAGAGGCCCCCTCTCCGTTTCATTGTCCCGGAGCTATGAGTAGACATCATATCGTCTGTTCTGTCTCTCGCGTTGAGTAATGTCAAATCCAGCAGTTGTGTACAACCGAGGCAACTCGATTCTCACCATCAGGCTTAATTGAAAGGAGAAAAAAAGGGTTATGTTACAGAAATCTTGGCAACTGGATTTTAATTTTCCATTTGTCTTTTTAAGTTTGTTAGGATGAGAACCTTCTTACTAACCGAAGTAGCAAGTTAATGATTATTATGGAGTTGGCTACCCATTTTCCTGATAAAGAAGGAATGCGTTAATGTTTCAAATGTGACAATTTTGCAAGCTGACAATCTTTTTTTCCAGATTTTATGGCATTATAGACACAGATTTATTCATGAGAGAACAACTATTGAAATCAAGTTAATTAACTCTTAGATTTCTGATTTCAATAGACCTGCATGATAGCTTATAATTAAACCTGGATTGAACCCAGTATCTATTATTATAGAACCTTTAAAATCCGAATTATTGATTTTGAGATGGATGAGATATGAAACATGTCAAGTGCTTTTTTTTTAGCCAATAAAACTAAAATCCTGAGTAGCTTGTATCCCTAGTAACAATCTTTCTGTCACATCTGTACAAAAGTATTGCTCTGAAAAGGGGGGATATGTCCTGCCCAAAATCTTATGCCTGTTCACAAGATCCTGTGTAATAGCTTTGAAAGAGCCAATCATGTGCTGTGTGGTTTAGGGCCTGATCTGATCTATTATATCTTAGGCGAGCCACCAGCTTGGAGCTACCCATGGCCATGAGGTTTCGGCACCTGAAGAAAACTTCCAAAGAGGCTGTGGGAGTGTACAGGTAATACTTCAAAGGGATCACAGAATATAGAGTTGGAGGTCTTCTAGTCCAGCCCCCACCTGCTCAAGCAGGATACCTTTACCATTTCAGAGAAATAGTTGTCCAATCTCTGCTTACAAACCTCCATTGTTGTAGCACCCACAAGTTCTGGAAGCAAATCGTTCCACTGATTAATTGTTCTCACTGTCAAGGAAACTTCTCCTTAGTTCTAAGTTGCTTCTGTCCTTGATTGGTTTCCACCAGTTGCTTCTTGTCCTGCCTTCAGGTGCTTTGGAGAATAGCTTGACTCCCTCTTCTTTGTGGCAGCCCCTCAAATATTGGAACAGTGCTATCCTGTCACTCCAGCCCTTCTTTCCATTAAACTAGACCCATCCAATTTTACCCTCCAAATCATCCCTTGTTTAAGTCCTCCACACAATGTAGAGGCAAAGCTGTGTCCTGTATTTGTTCCAGGATCCGAGAGAGCAAAACTCGTACCAGAGCCCTGGGTTCAATTCGTAGGCCCTCTGTTAGTTTTCACCTGTCAGCTGTTCTCTCCATTTTAGGTCAGCCATCCATGGGCGGGGCCTGTTCTGCAAGCGCAACATTGACGCGGGCGAGATGGTGATTGAGTACTCCGGCATTGTCATCCGTTCGGTGCTCACCGATAAGCGTGAAAAGTACTACGACAGCAAGGTAGCGCTCATGAAGGAAGGGTAAAGGAAAAAGGGGGTGCGTGCCAGGAAGGAAGGATCATGGTTGCCAGCTTGTCCCAAAGGTGCTTTTCCAAGAGGCAACTGGACTTTTTGCTTCTCATCCAAGAAGACGTTTTGCTTCTCATCCAAGAAGCTTCTTCAGTTCTGATTGAGAAGCAAAACGTCTTCAAAGAAAAAACCAGAAAGTCCAGTTGCCTCTTGAAAAAGCACCTTTGGGACAACCATGATCTGGATGACTGAGAATCTCCACATACATGATGTCAACTTGTTCTCCTTTTATTTTGTTGGGTTCTTGATGTTCTCTGAGCACACTTCTCTTCCCGCATTATCAAGTTCTGTAAACCTCATCATTGCAAGCTTGTGGTTCCCCATTCAAACTTTCTGTCCCTTGGACGGAACTCATTTCCAACTTTTCTCCTCCTTCACAAGGACTAGGGCCCCAAATTCTCCACAACCAAGAATCCAACAACACAAAACCCTGAGCCCTATGGATCCTCCACGGGAGGGCCCCCCTCTTTAACTCTCCTTTCCTTCCTTGCAGGGCATTGGATGCTACATGTTCCGCATTGATGACTTCGATGTGGTGGATGCCACAATGCACGGCAACGCTGCCCGCTTCATCAACCACTCCTGCGAGCCCAACTGCTACTCCCGCGTGATCCATGTTGAAGGCCAGAAGCATATTGTCATTTTCGCCCTGCGCCGGATCTTCCGGGGCGAAGAACTCACCTACGACTACAAGTTCCCCTTCGAAGACGCTGGCAGCAAACTCCCTTGCAATTGCGGAGCCAAACGCTGCCGTCGTTTCCTCAATTAAAGACTGGTCCCTCACCTGGCTTTCCAGATCCATACGCTTGCCCAGCCTCTTTCCGGTGTCAGCGGGTGGCCGGGCCAAGTGGATGGAAGGGGGAGCTTAATCATGGCATAACTTTTTGGCGGGCTGCTGCATTGCTGACTCATCCCTTTAATTCCTTGAAGCATGTGACTCCAAGGGCCTCAATCATCTCCAAAGAGCATCAGGGATGCCCGTGTGGTGGGTGATGAGGGAAAGCTCTTAGCGGCAGCTCGGTCTTTTATTTTTTATTTTTTTGTGGCTTGAAATTATGAGACGCAGAGATCCAGGGCAAAAATGCAGGAAGAATCACCTTTTATTTGTGTCCCCCTTCTGCTTCATAGACCTCTTTCCCTTCCTCCACTTCTCCCCCCTCCACACCTCCCCAATCCTGTGGGGCGAGAACAATCTTTCATTTTGTACTTTTAAATTTTGTGGTTTTTCTTCCTTCCTCCGAGATGATCCTCTGTTTTAAAGAAGAAGAAAAAAAATACATCAAACCCAGGAGGATGTAAATAGTTGTACAAATTTCTAAACCTGTTTATTTTCTATGCACTTTTTTATTTAAGATGCTCAGTCAACTCAGACGGGAAAGGGTTGGATTCTTGTTGGTATAATTTTAAATAAAAAGCAATTTTGACACAAGATGGTGTCCCTCATGTCTTCAGTTGCTTTAAATTTCAGGATGAAGGAGAACGTGTGAATGCAGAACAAAACCTCTCTGGAAAGGGACAGTTGTACTTCTGTGATTTAATGAACTTTCCTTGGTTATAACAGAATTGAGAATACACAACTTGCGACTAGAATTGAACCTGTTGTTTGCAGTGACTGTTGTAAATTATGTTTAGAGTGTGACCATGCACAATTTTACAACCTTTTTTTGCTATGGTCATTAAGCAAACCTATTGTTCACTATAAGGTGTTTTTTGTCAAAAACCATAAGTAAACACCAGTTTGTGGCAAAAACATTTTAGACTATGGTCACATAACTGTGGGACGCTGCAAAGGCTATGCTGTAAATACGGGCTGATTGCGGAGTGCCCAGGATGCTGTCATGTGACTGCAGAAGAAGAGCTCAGTTGTAAGTCGAGGATTACCTACTAATTTTTCTCAAGTAAGCCTCGATATACTTATTGCCTGAAAGCGCTTACTGGCTTCCTTCCACTAAATGCAGCTGACCAGACAAGCCATGTGTTTGCTGTCCGATGGGCATTAGTCTAAGGTTTTCTTTCTTGGATTTTGAATGGAGATCTTGTATAATGTCAGGCGAGGCTCCATTCAAAATCCAAGAAAGAAAACCTTAGACTCCATTGTTTTAGAGAAAAGGACTTTTATTGAAAATTGATATGGGAGCATCAGAAGAATACAAGGTCTGAGACAACAGGCTGGAAAATCACATACACAAAGTTATGCCAATATCCCCACCCCCAATAGTTCAAACTGGCCATCCAATCTGAGATATGTATGTCACGTGGGGCATATTCAGGTGGTGTTTCAGACATCTGGTATGCCAAGACGGTTGACCTTGGCCTGAATAGATAAGAGGCTACAGCTGCACAGTAAGCAAGTAAGCATAGTCAAGAAAGTTTTCCCAAGTTTTACATTTCACCATCTCAAGCCTCCAGCACTCTTCCTCCCACACACGAGGTCCAATCAACCTTCCCTCCCCCCACCCTTTCTATGGCAGCTGGAAAGATAAGCAGAAGGATTCTTGAAGGCTGACACCATGTATGAATTGGCTTCTGTAGGTTGTTTCCCCTAAAAACAAAACCCTCATCTCAATGAGCCAGGATTTTGAAGAATTCAGACCTTACAAGCCATACAAACTCAGCCACATGGAGTTGTACTTCCAAACATTTATGTACAACTGGGCTGGCATTTCTACATTACTTGGGAATACTAGGTGCATATCCTCTCTAGTATCTGGCTGGGGAATTCAGGGAGTAGAAGTCCACCAATCTTAAAAAGTTGCCCAGGTTGGTCACACCTGATGTACTCCATCTTTCACAAATTCTGAATGTGTTGCAAGGATAAAACTCATCACAACTGGCACTGCTTTCTTGATTACATTTGGAGTCAAAGGTTAAGGCATGTTATTCAGAAGTAGCAGAGACAAGGCACAGATAGGGAGGTTGGGGGGGAAAACAACCTGGAAAGAACACAATTGCAAAACAGCAGCTTCCACAGCCATGCCAAGTGCAACAACCACATGCACACTCAGCAACATCACACAAGCAGTAGTACCCAAGTTGTGACTGATGTTGCCCTCAAAAGACACTGCAGCATTTGCGAAGTGTCGTTGCAAAGGTCAGCATTTGGACTCTTGCAGACACTCGTGACAAATTCCTTCCACAGGGGGTCACAAAAACTGCAGAGATATAATAAGTGGTGATTTTACCTTCATTAGATGAAATTACATACCTAAATTGTTTTGCAATTTGGAGCTCTAACAGAATAACAGTTGGTTCAACCCCCTGCTAAAAAAAATGGTCTAGGATCAGTGGTGGGATTAATTTTTTTTTACTGCTGGTTCTGTGGGCATGGCTTGGTGGGAGTGGCAGGGGAAGGATACTGTAAAATCTCTATTCCCTCCCCACATCTGGGGGAAGGTTACTGCAAAAGCCCATTCCCTCCCCACCCCACTATCCTGCTTTCCAGCTCCGTTCTCCTGTGCAGGGCAACAAAAGAGCCAGCCAATCAGCTGGGACTCAATGGGAGCCAGTCAGAGGTGATATTCCAAACTACTCAAGACTCCCACTGTTGTATTTGGTTGGACGGGGACACCAGGCAGACACAGGAGCTGAAGAATAACGTTTCTTTATTTGAAGCAGTAACAGATTAACGTGGCTGCCCAGCTGGGCTGGCAGCCGGCTGGCTGGAGCCGGAGCCCCAACTGCCCCAGCTGATGCCGTTTGACAGCTCCTTATATAGTCTGCTGTCAAACGGCACCAACCAATGGGAACAGTAAGATGGTCCCGCTCAAAATGCGGACCAGGTTGAAGACTTAGCTAGTCAGGGACACAACACCCACTACTGGTTTTCCAGAACTGGTCAGAACCTGCTGAATACCACCTCTGTTTAGGATCTGTTCTTGCACTTAGGGCCACCATAGCATCCTCGGAGTCACATGATCAAAATCCAAGCACTTGGCAACTGGCATGTATTTACCAGGATTATAAATTCCCATGGTTAGGTATGTAGCATCTGGTCAGAATAGAATTGGAAGGGAACTTGGAGATCTTCTAATCCAACCCCCTAGTATACCATTCCACACAAGTGCAGCACTCTCTTCTCATCCACAACTTCTGGAGGCAAGTTGTTCCACTGATTAATTGTTCTGTCAGGAAATTTCTTCTTTAATTCTAGGTTGCTTCTCTCCTTGATTCCTTGTCTCCACCCATGGCTTCTTGTCCTGCCTCAGGTGCTTTGGCAAACAGCTTGACTCCCTCTTCTTTGTGGCAGCTCCTGAGATGTTGGAACACGGCTGTCATGTCACCCCCCTGGTCCTTCTTTTCATTGAACCTGACATACCCAATTCCTGCAACCGTTCTTTATACACTTTAGCATCCAGTTTGTTTTCAAATTAGGCAACTTTTAAGAGGTGTGCACTTCAATTCCCCAGAGTCCTACTGGCTGGCGAATCATTGAAGTCCACATATCGTTTAAAAAACATCGCTCAGTTTGATAAACATTGCTTTAAAACACCGATGCGGGCCGCACACAGAGAAAAGAGAGGCGAAAAAAAAGAGACATAGTTTCGCTCGTGACTCCCTTTTAAAAAGAACTACAACTACCGGCATCCTCTTCTCCGACGAGAAATACAATCCCAGCATGCGGCGGGGTGGGCGTGATTTCAAAAACTGGACTTTGCAAAGTGGTAGAAACGCAGAGGACTTGTGGTGGATCCGGAACAACAACAATAACAATAATATCTAGGACATTCCAATTACAGTCTTCTTGTTGTTTTTTTATTTGTTGGATTTGCTTTTGCCTAATTGTGACCTAGAGCAATTGTTAGTAGTTTATTTGAGCTTGCAGATTGCTACGCCTTGTATATCATTCGGAAATAAGGAGAAACTTTCTGACAGTGAGAACAATCAACCCATGGAGCAGAAGTTGCCCTCGGAAGTTGTGGGAGCGCCATCACTTGAGACTTTCAAGAAGAGATTGGACTCCCGTCTGTCAGAAATGGTGTAGGATCTCTCGCTTGGGCGGGGGGGGGGGGGGTGGACTAGATGACCTATAAGGTCCCTTCCAACTCTGATTATCTGTTATCTGGATTGGCTTCGTTGCTTTCTTCGAGCCAGAGAAGACAACCGGATGCCCCATTCTCCTCGGCGACTTCGCACTACAAGTCCTATATAAACCACAATTAGTTTTTTAAAAAAACTAACCACAGAAAAGGACTTGTAGTCCAAAGCGACCTGCAAGACAATGTTAGTTTAGAGACCATACATAAGAGAGAGAGCGCCTCTATTGACGTCTATTATGGCCTCTTGAAAAAGCACCTTTGGGACGCCTCTATCTGCAAAACACGCTTCCGCCGATCCATTCCTAACTGTGGGGACTGCTTTGTTCCTTTTCACCTGGTTTTCACCTGGGTTGGGCTTTTGCCCGGGCGGGAGACTGCGGGCCATGGCTCCCACACGTTTGTGCCAACCCAGAAGAGGCGACTTCAGAATGGGGACGAAAGAATGTTTTGCAACCCGAATCGCCCAGCTCGGAGCTCAAACCAATAAAACCACTATCTATCTATCTATCTATCTATCTATCTATCTATCTATCTATCTATC